GCATAAATATTTACCAATATTTGCTTTAATTTTATGATTAAATATATATATATATATATATTTTACTTTTTATTCCTTTTAGACATATTTTCAGGAATGGTTTGAGGGGAGGCACTAAGAATTTTTTCCCAAGTATCTCAGTATCATTTAATAAATAATTGGCATAATTTTGTGATGGCTCTCATTCACACTATTGGCCCATAGTCACACAGTGGTTTGTATGTAGCCTGCTATGCCAGGGGTGACTGCAGTGACATCCCATTTCAACTATAGGCAGCTTGAGGACTCTGTGTAACTCTCACAGTTCCCTGAATATGGTAGATGGCCAGTGAACTCCTGTATAAAAGGCACAATTAATGAGTCATTGATACACCTGGGAAAGTTTAACTTGGAAGCTAAACAATGTCTGTCCTGACTGGTTTAAATGTTTACCTTTTGGGAACAAGGGTGCCAAGCCAGACAGGACTTTTAGTGATCCTTTCCACTTATGATTTTATCTTCTACCCCCTGCTATTTTGATTGAGTTGCTTAGATCTTTAGAATATAATACTGGTTTCTCAGGGCCTCAGGATTAGGACTAAATTTCAGATCTCAAGGCCTTTTAATTCATTACTCTCCAGGAACAGTTCTGATGCAGCTGGGCTAGTATTTCTCACACTTGAGTGATATGCATAGTTGTAAAATGTAGGTACCTTTTAAAAAACATTACTATGAACCTTCAGTAATGCCTTATTTTTATTAAAACTTCATTTAAATAAGGTACATGTCCTTTTAGGTACATAGCAAAAAAGGCAGGGGTCGTGATTGCATGGTAGACACTCATGATCCACAGTATACACAATGTTAACTTAATATATTGTTTTAAAAACATTGTGATTGAAGCAAAAGCACAAATTTCAAGAATTCATCGAGAACCTGGAGACCCCCCCCAGGAGTATGTGTCATTATTCTTATTCTAACAAAACAGAAATTGGAGGATTATTTTACCATATACCACATTCAACCCTCAACCTCTGCCATTTTTCTAGGCAGTGTGGATGTCTACCCAGTCTTCAATGCTCAATTTAAATGTGAACAATCACTAAACTAGATATAAACTCATCTGCATATACTGTAACCATTATGCAACTATGAAACTAAAGCTAAATATAAACAAAACTATAAAACCAACACCTCAAATAACCTTACGTATTTAATGAGATGGACGATACTGTTTGCTGACAAAAATGTCTGTTCATATCACAAATTTTTTTTTTTTTTGGTTCTACATGCCTATTACTTAGTGAATGGACTTAATCTGAATTTGTTTGTTCCTTCCACTATTAATCTTTTTTTTTTTCTTCAAGAAACCTTTATTAGTTGAACAGCACATTAATCCATCAGGATTTTCATGAATCATCACCAACTGTATCCCACCAATATTCTGAAGAATTTGCTTCTAGAAGTTGATAACTGAGCTGAATTTTGCTTTATAGATTTTAAGAAAACTTGTTTTTTTTTGAGACAGCGTCTCACTCTGTTGCCTAGGTTGGAGTGCAGTGGCATGATCTTGGCTCACTGCAACCTCTGCCTCCTGGGTTCAAGCCATTCTCCTGCCTCAGCCTCCTGAATAGCTGGGATCACTGGCACATGCCACCATGCCTGGATAATTTTTGTATTTTTAGTAGAGACAGGGCTTCCCCACGTTGGCCAGGCTAGTCTTGAACTCCTGTCCTCAGGTTATCCACCTGCCTTGGCCTCCCAAAATGCTGGGATTACAGGCATGAGCCACTGTACCCGACGAAGAAAACATGTTCTTTTTTCCCATTATGAAATAAAACCTCTCTCTGAAACCAAAAAGAAATGTTTCTCAGATGAAAGAAAAGTACTCAATGTGGTTAAATATGTTAAAGTGATTTTTAAAAATTATGACTTATATACTTATTGTATCGCAATCTGAGTGCAGAGAGGATCTGGTTATTGTTTGTAAGTTAAAAGCTTAACAGACTGTAACAGAGAAGCTGTCTGCAACATTTTATAAAACAAATTTCAATTTTATAGAAAAATATCATACAGGACTCTTAGGTTGCTCAAGACCCTGTTTCCTAATAGTTTTTGAAAGCTGTTGACTTTTAGAAATGAACATGTTGATCTGGGCGTAAAGAAGGAGGATATGTAGAAAACAGAAGAGATGCCAATTCACTATGCAGCAGGCAATTAATTAGCAAGAGTCGTGCTCCTTGAAACATATGATTGAGGAGATCTGCAAATCTTAGAATAACAGAAGATACCTTCCAAGTAACTTTACTGGTGTGATTTTCCACCAGAGTTCAATCAATGGATTAGATCTTAGAGTAAGGTTGTGGTTCTCAACAGGAGGTAGTTTTGTACCCCCTCCCAGGAGATATTTGGCACTGTCTGGAGACATTTTTGGTTGTCACAACTGTGTGGGGAGGATGTCCTAGCAGTTAGTGAGGAGAGGTCAAGGATGCTGCCAAACATCTTACAATGCACAGGACAGCACTCACAACAATTACCCAGTGCAAAATGTCAATAGTGCCAATCTTGGACACCCGGATTAAGGTGTCCAAGCCAAAGTGCTGAATCCTTGTGTGCACAGGGCTTGTGTGGAGGCTCCTCCAAAGGACACAGCCTAGTGGAGGAGCCTCTTGCTTTACACACACACACACACACACTTTATGTTAAAAGGCAACAAGTACTATTACAGGACCCCAACAGTTACACACACACACACACACACACACACACACACACACACTTTAGTTAAAAGGCAACAAGTACTATTACAGGACCCCAACAGTTACACACACACACACACACACACACACACACACACAAACACATACACACACACACACATTTATGTTAAAAGGCAACAAATACTGTTACAGGACCCTGACAGTTACCCAAAGGTAGCTGTTGGGTCAGGGTTTCTGCACTATAGTCCCATCTGGGTCATGAGAAATATGTTACAGGACCCCAACACTTACTCAAAGGTAGCCACTGAGTCAGTGTTTCTGCACTATAGTCCCTTCTGTGGTCGCCAGAAATATGTTATAGGGCAGGGGTCCCAATCCAGACCCCAAAGAGGGTTCTTGGATCTCACGCAAGAAAGAATTCAGGGCGAGTCCGCAGTGCCAAGTAAAAGCAAGTTTATTAAGAAAGTAAAGTGATGAAAGGACAAAGGACAGCTACTCCATGGACAGAGTAGGACATTCCCAAAAGTAAGACAAGAACAAATCCACCCTAGGTACAACACTTGTTTATATGGGGAGTTGTGCTCTGCTACCAGAGTCTGTGATAAAGAATTAATTTTCTTAATTAATTTAAATATTTTGCAAGAATCCATATTATTATCTTTAAAGCAAAATTATGAACACCTTCGGTTTCCAGTTATGGGGATATATGGACACTTCCATGTCTGGGTTTGTTGAGTAAACAGGATTAATTTGTTCCCATACTGTAAACATCCAGAGGCTAGGAATGCCCAATGTTCTGAGAACACAGCCCAGCAAGTCTCAGCCTCATTTTCCTAGCCCTCATTCAAAATGGAGTCGCTCTGGTTTGAATCCCTCTGACAGTACCACCCAGAATTCTCCCAGTCTCTTGGCACACAAGTTAGTCACAGGAGGATTGAGTTAGAGGGTTTTCACTGAGCCAGCCATACAATAAGACCACTATTGAAGGAACTGCTTAAGGAACAGGTAATAGGAACTGTTCAAAGCATAACAGGATTCATTAATTCATTTATTTACCTATTCAGCAAAACTTTATTGAACGCTCCCATGAACACTTCTGCTAGGCATAGTGATACATGGTGAATACAACCAGACCTGGTCCCTGCCCTCTTGGAGCTTACAGCCTAGGAGGGAACTCTAAAGGTTACAAAGAAGGGGCCAGTTTGTACAATGAGGACTCCATGAATGTACATGATTGAGCTTGACAAACTTCCACGTTTGTAATCTCATTTGAACTGCACAACCACCTCAGGAGACAACCTTTATTCCCTTTTTAGGTTAAAAATGTGCTCAAGGTCAAAACAGTTTGTAAGTGGCAGAGCTGACCAAGTGACAATGAAGGCCCTGTTATAGAATTCTATAGAGCAGGGATACATATAGGTGCTCTTGCCTTGATTTTTACTGAACTTGCCTCTCCTAATTCTCACCGATCATATAGGTACATAGCTCTTCTCTTTATGAAAAAAATGCCCCCACCTACTTCATCCTTTTCCTTACAGCTGGGGATTCTAGTTGTTTCACGTACATTCGCCTTGTGTTTCTAATTAGATTGTAAACTCTCAACCTGCAGGGACCAGATCTTCCATTTCCTTTGCAACCTTTTGCAGTACTGCAGTCACCCAATAAATGCCCTCTGCATGAATGAACCTGTAGAGATAAAAATATTTTATGGCATTCCCATTTATAGGTTTCATGTTTTTATTTTGCTCTGTGATAGGGCTGTACATTATACGCTTCTAGAGGGCAGAGAAAATGGCTTGGTGCTTTCCTTTACACTCAGCAGGAACCAGGCAAAATTTGATCCGTGCATGCCTTTTTGATGCTCTGGGTAATATTAGCACGCTGGGGTGTTTTTGTGTATCTACGGACCGAGGTTGTCAGCCTCTCTGCGGCGGAGAATGTTGCTGCCTTTCTATTGCAAGCTCCCATGGCGCCTAGGACAGGGCTAGATCACTGCAGAAGCTCCTCCTTGCTTATTTCTAGTACTAAGGAAGCCAACTGCGAACATGGCAAGCTCTTGCATAACCCTAGACCTCGAAAGGAAATGAGCAAAGTGGAAGGTGGAAGGGGATTTGAAGGCAGGTCAGAGATGGCCTGGATGAGAATGCCGAGGCTTCTCTCTGAGGATCCAGCCCAAGTCTGACCAGAAGGGCTCGAGTAAGTGGCCGCCCGCAGTCCCTAGTCCCCGGAGACAGCCCGCCCGCTCGCCCGCCGGCCCCGCGCGCCCCCGGGAGCTGTCCAGACGGCCCCGCCCGCGCCTACCTGGGCACTCACTCGTGCCGCCGCGCGGCCTCTTCTCCTCCCACCCCGGCCACAGGAGCCCGGCTCCGGCCTGCCTCGTTGCCTGCGAGTAGCCCCGCGGGCGGCGCGCTCGCAGCTTCCACCCGGCGGGCAGAGCGACGGGCCAGACAGCGCCAGGCGCGCCAGGGGCGGCGCGGTCAGGCTCGGCGGGGCTCGGCGGGCTCGCCCTCGGCCGGGCGCCTGCAGGGGGCGCGGGGACGGCCCCGCCCCGCCGCCTCCTCTCTCCCTCCCGGCTCCCTGGATCCGCGCCGGGAGGAAATGATGTGTTGCTGCCTGGTTAATCACAGCTCCAGACACTCATTGGCCGAGCGCTCCGCAGCCACTTCCTCCTCCTCCTCCTCCCGCTCCTCCCGCTCCGGCTCCTGCTCTTTGCAGCCGCCGCCGCCGCCGCAGCCTCCCCCTCGGCGCTGGGGGAACTTTTCTACTCTCTGTGACCGTCTCCCTCACGGCTCCCGGGGGCAAGCCCCCGCCCCCCTGCCCGCCCCGCCCGCGGCGGTGCTCCCAGCCCGAGCCTCTGCGCCTTGGGAAGTTTATTCCGCCCGCCCTCCTCCCCTTCCTCCTCCTCTTCACCCCGCCTCCCCGCCCTCCCCCGGCTCTTTCCCCGGGTGGCTGCCGCTGCCGCCGCTGCCGCTGCCAGCCTGCTCCTCGGCCAGCCGCGCCGGCCCCAGCGCTGGGAAGCCCCCGCCCCACGCACCGCTCCGCCGCAGCCGCAGCAGCCGCCGCCGCTCGGGGCCGGCCCTCGTCCCCCAGCCCCCGGCCCCGCAGAGTTCCGGGCTCCCTAGCCGGCTGCACCGCCCCGCCCCGCCCCGCGCCGCGCCGCGCCGCGGCGACCTGCAGCGCCCGGCTGCCTCGCACTCCGCCTCCCCCGGCTCAGCCCCCGGCCGCGGCGGGACCCGAGGTGAGCGCAGGTCGCCGGCCGCGCCTGCTGGAGCCGGGCGGACCGAAGGAGGAGGTAGCCTAGCCGGAGAAGAGGCAGGGATCGGGGGTGGCTGGGTGGGCGTCTGCGGTGCCTCCCCCTCGCTTTCATTCCTTTCTCCCCCAAGCTTGATCCCCTCTCCGTGGGGGAAGCAGCCGCGGAACAAAACTGTCTTGCTTTGGGCCTGAACTGCCGGTGGGGTAAGGGATTGGGAGCAGAGGCGTGGAGCGGGGGTCTTAGGTTTGCACTGGGGTGTGTGCGTGTGTGTGTGCGTGTGTGGTGTGTGTGTGTCTGTTGTGAACTCCTTCAGGGTGTGCGACTCTGACTTCTAAATCGATCTGGCCGCGGGGCCACGGGGCTCACCTTCCTAGCTGAGCTTGGTAGAGAGTAAGGAGATAGATAGGTGAATCTCCCCCACCCTCAAAATATCCTTCTCTTCCAAGAGGAATTTTCTGCTGGAGAGACAGCCAATAAACTCTGCTCAACTCCCTCCCTCCCTCGGTTCTTCCTAGCTGCAGTTTCAAAAAGCTTCAAAGCCAGGAATGTGGGATTCATCTTCCGATCCCCAGAAGGCAAATGTGGTTACAGATGTTGCACGGTACTTTGCCAAGTTTAAAACCCTTCCTTCAACATTGTAACCAAAACAGTGAGGCTAGAACCTCGGGCGCTCTAAGAAGAGATGTGGGCCTCTGGGGCTGCTGGATTCAGTAACTTCCGTCGGGTTCTAAACCGGCTCAGCTCTGTCCAGTTTGTGCCAGATAGTCTTCCACCCCCTCTCCACCCCTCCTTTCCCCTGGAGATTTGAACGCTGCTTGCATGGGAGAGAAGCTACTTAGAGAAGAAAACGTTCCACTTAGTAGCAGAAGAAAAGTCTTGGTTAAAAAGTTGTCATGAATTTGGCTTCTGGAGAGAGGCAGCAAGGTAAATACAATGGACTTGTCAATTTTGTTGGGCTTTTCTTTCTTTTTTGAGGGATGTATGATAAGACTTAGATGGTGGGCAAAAGGGTCGGTTCCATACATGTTTGTCCATATTTTTGAAAAGAGGCCCATGAATTGAGACATAACCCAGTGGTTTTAAAGAATCCTGTCCCGGAGATGCAGATTGCTCTGACAGCCCAAGGGAAGGCGGTGGCAAAAAATAGACACCACCTCCCTTTTCCCCAAAAAAATTCTTCCTGGAAAGGTGGTGTTAAGAAATTTCAGAGATGGGCTGATCCAAGTGGCGGGCCTTAAATGGAAACACTATAGTATGTCCTGGCACTTGTCTCTGGAGGTGGGTTGCTGGCCAGGGGCCCAGGCTTGGGCAGCCAGCAGACACTAGACTTGTGCTGACCTCAGACTTCGGCCTCGCCATGCAGCTTTATAGTGTGCAGACCGCTTAAGTTTCAAATACGGTTCTCATCCATTCCACTGATGGGGACAGTGGGGTCAGGAGGTTATTTTATGCCTGGATGGGACTTGGATCACTTATTTTATGATTTGCTTGTTTTTGTTTTCTGTCTTGGAATTTAAAAAAATTGAATTCTTTTGAAGCTGAAATGTAGGCCTTCAGTTGATGTAACTGCGTGTTGGATAATAGTATTTCTACTATTACCCTTCATGCAGGTACTCACAGGTGGTGAGTGATATAGAGATAAATTCTGTATAGGTGACAAAGACCAAGGATTGATACGGTTGTAGATTGGGTTCACACCCTCCCTTTTCAGCTGTGTTGTTGAGTTGTACTTGAAATGGAGAGGGTGGTTTTAAATAAAACTTGATTTAGGTAGTAGTCTTACAACTTTTGTACCTTAGAAGAGAGTGATCATTTGAATCCAAGTAAGTTTCTTGTTATCTCTAAGTAATTTTAAGGGATATTAAGGATACAGAGTAAAGTTGCCATATTCAGCAATGTAATGTATTGATTTCAGAAGTGAGGAACTTAATTTGATTAATAGCATTGTAATGAATTTTTTTTCAAAGCAGTGATTTACCAGATTTTCTTCCATGTGTCCAAGGAAGGTTTAACAGAGATTGAGTCAGGAGATAGAGGTTATGCCTGTACTTTGCCCTAGTTTGGACTAAACTAGTCCTGTAATGGTCATGATCGCTTCTAGGTAATTTTCAGGCTTGGATTGAGTAGTCCAGTCTTCCAGGGGAGGGGGGAACAGGACAGAAATGGATTTGAAAAATGATCCTGCTCTTCAAGGTCATGAGGTGAAGATGGAATCAATGCTGGGACTGGGAGCTGTCTTCTGTGGCTTGTTCTGCTCTTGGATCCCTGCATCTTGATTTATTTTTATGTGAAGAGATCTCATGCCCAACTCAGTAGGAACTCTGGAGAAGCAAACCACTGATGGTGGCAAAACTCTTTGCTCTGTTTGGGTTACTTTAATGGAAGGACAGTTTAGGGGTGCTGGATATGTGGCAGGCACTGTGCTCAGCTCTTGCTTTACATGTACTTTTTCATGACATTTCCACAAACGCCATATGTCTTATTATTATTTTACCCTTCTACAGTAATAAATTGAGGCTTGGCAAATTTCAGTGGTAAAGTGGGGATTTGAACCAGGGATCTGTAGGACTTCAGAACTCATGTTCTTGGTCACATTTGCCAGCGATTGTCAAACTTCATTCACTCACATACTGTACTGTCTTCTGAGTTTACCATGGCTGAGTCCCACTTTATTAATGTTTTTCTTTAAAGCAAGATCCACTTAAAGAAAAGAACCTAAAAACATCATTTTAAAAGAGGAAACTATGTATTACTTCCGTATTTGGAAAGCCAACTCAACTCGTTAGGAATAGGAGATAATCTTTTTTTTTTTTTTTTTTTTTTTTTTGAGACGGAGTTTCACTCATGTTACCCAGGCCGGAGTGCAATGGCGCGATCTCGGCTCACCGCAACCTCCGCCTCCTGGGTTCAGGCAATTCTCCTGCCTCAGCCTCCTGAGTAGCCGGGATTACAGGCACGCACCACCATGCCCAGCTAATTTTTTGTATTTTTAGTAGAGACGGGGTTTCACCATGTTGACCAGGATGGTCTCGATCTCTTGACCTCGTGATCCACCCGCCTCGGCCTCCCAAAGTGCTGGGATTACAGGCTTGAGCCACCGCGCCCGGCCGAGATAATCTTAAATATGCATCTATACTTGCATCGAAACCCCGAGTTCAGAATAATGATTATGTGGAGTGTGTGTATGTTGCAGGGACCTGTAATAAAAATGGAGGAGGTGGGTAGATGATGCAGTATTGGTGATGTTCTGGTTTTTGGATTGGGCGATGGGTTCATAGGTGCTGATTTTATTTTTAGACTTTATCTGCTACATACACGATACATACTTTTTTTTTGTGAAATGGTAAAGAAAATTAAACACATAACTATTAACGTAATGTTTACTTAGGGACTATTTTACTGCACTGTGCTGACTGTAGACTTAGTTTGGTGCCTTGTGTGCAGTAGGCACACAAGAACTATTGGCTGAACGACAAGACCCCAGGAAATCATTGTAAAGCAAGCTCATTGTTTGTTATATTTGAATAAGGTTGAGGTATGCCTCCTCACTTCTACTCTCATTTCCAATATTGCAACTAAGTAGCGTGGGCTGCAGTGAGGTTTCACCTGGCTGCAGTTATGGGAGACCCAGGCTGGGCTGAAGCTGGCACTTTTCAGCATCACCTTGTCTTAGATATCTAGCACTTGGGATGGGGCAAAGAATGCTGTTGTGAAGTGTTAAGACTCTTTCCTTTTTACTCAGTAGTAGGATGTGACCATTCAGAGCTGGAAGCAGTATTTAAGTTTAAAGGAGGGCTTGGCTGAAATGTTAACAACATTAAACTGGTGAGGCTGGGAAATAAAAGCCATCAGAAATTTTAATTGGAATCCACAGAATCTCCTGTGTTATTTTCCTAAGCAAGCACTGGGCACTGTGGCTTTATTCCTGGAAATGCGGATTTGGAATTGGGTTTCCTGGTACAGAATGCCTTCTTTGATCTTTTGGAGTGAAAACTTTGTGTTTCTTTATGTGGCCAATTCTAGCTCTTAGAAGAACCAAATGGAAGATTTACCTCTTCATTTTTAGCATTTGGCCATAGACTGCTCTTGCTTGCCATGTTAAGTTTAAGAATCAGAAGTTCCAAACTAGGATTTGTCTACTGGAAGGACATTCAAATGAAAGACTCCTTTTGAAAGAGCCTCATCAATTTGATGTGGTTGGCACATCACAGCCTTTGGTTCAGATGGGAGGTAATTTTACTTGAACTCACACTCTCAAAATTAACTACTAAGAGATTCGGCAGCTTCCTTTTCTGAGTTAACACAAATACACCCTCTGCCCCTAATATTCAAACTGACTGCACATTTGAATAATATTCTTGTGCTCTTCTAGGCAGTTCTG